TGCGCGCGCGCGGATGGAGCGTGCTTAGGATGTCAGGAGAGGGGAATCACCCTCTCATTGACCGACCGTTTCAAGACTAAAGTCGTGGATGAAGGAGTCCTCAGAGATTGACCAGCGACCCGGGGGAGAGCCGGGAGGGGGGGGGACTGGTGGCCACTGAAAGTGGCTCAATGGTTAGTGGGGACGAACGAAAACACGACTGAGTGCATCTTAGTGCTCCCAGTGGGTCCCTACTGGAGACCTACAAGTAGTGTAGGGGCCAGTCACTCGGTTTCAGAACTTTGAAAGGCACTTCAGAAGGCACAGGGTACCCCTACGGACAAGTACAGCATGGTGGGCCATCAACCTTCACTTCTGTCACTCTCGATCCACTGGCTTTCCGGTCTGTGACAGTGATACTCGATGCCACTCTGACTCACTAACATCGAAGTGGAAAATGGTCCTTTGGAAGACTACTTTCCCTTACGAACAAGGGGTTTTCCGCTTCCATGTTAGTGAGTCAGAGTCAGAGTCAGAGTGTATTTGTGTGTTTTTTTTTTTTGGGACCTCTTGTTGAAGCTCTTGCAGGGCCACGGATCATGTAGCCCAGTTTGCAACATTGGCATATATTGGCACGCTGCCTCCGTGTCCTAAGCGTCGAAAGCCTGAAAAGCGCAATCGGGTTCTTCTGTTGGATCAGACGTTCGACGTTGGGATTATGGCAAACCACTCTCACGCGGTCAGAGTCGAAATGAACAAACACCGCAATCAGATGCAAACATATATGAACCATCCAATGATTGTCCGATGGACTACCCTGCACTACTTAGGGATCTCCATTGGACACCCATTGGATGGTCCAGGTGTCCTAAAGTATAGTCTCTGTCTGTCCTATTACCTGTTACAGTTACCGGTACTGACGACTGTAACCATCATCCTCCAGTGTTACTGGCCATGGGACATTCCCAAGGTATAGATCGTATAGTCAACAAGTACACTCGCACCACACACATGGCCGGACTCACACTCGACTGACCTGACTGGCGACTGGAGCCGAATCATGCTCCCATCGGTCACGGGTACCTGCTGCGAACTTGGAAAAAAGAAACCCACACGGCCAAAACCACGACGAAGTCGGTCCCTCGGTGGACACCGTGCTCTGCGCGGTGGGGTCGCTCGGCAGCGATTTGGCCAGGATATGATCCGGTCTACGGCGCACGCCCCTTGCGCCGCGCCATCATGCGGCTCTTGGACGACAAGTGGCCTGGTGGTGCATTAAATATCGTGGATTCAGAATAGATGGCACAGACCCCAAGGTCGGTGGTTTAGGACTGGACCCCCCATCTGTCGACAGGACATCATGGGGTCCTGTGCCATCTATATACTCTGAAACCACCGTACATTAGGGTGGCTTCTATTTCTGTTCGGCTCTTCGGCTGTTCCGGGTGAACCGCCGGGTGAACCTCCGATGTTCTGAACCAGCTCGCTGGTTGCGCTGGTTCCTCGCAGCCATTGACCCGGTTCCTCCGGCATCTCCAAGGCTGGCGGAAGCCTTTTTGCATGAGCCCACCGTTGAGGGCGAGTGCATCATTTGCGACATCGACGAGGTGGACGTGGGTCATGGGGTGGACGTGGGTCAGGGGAGGCGTATAGTCTAGTCAGTGTAGAGGCGGGGAAGTGGGCAGCTTGGAGGTGTGAATGTGAATTCCTAAGCAACAATGACCGCCAGTGTCATCTCCTGGAAGCGGCTGCTCTCTAAACAGCCAGGACAGGTGCAAAACTGCGGGTTGGTATGTACATCAGGGATCATCAGGGATCTTAGGGTTTAGGCTTAGGATTGGCCGGCTCGAAGCCAGGGCCTCTTCGCAGGATGCCGTCCTCCGCCTCTCCACGACCCGACCGTGCGGACCCGACCGGGCCATTGAACCCATCCCGACCGGGACTGCCGGACTGCCGCCCCTGGCATTGGCCCCCCCCCCTGGCACCACCCCTGGCCGTTTTGAAGGCAGTCCGACATGGCATATACATGGAGCCTTTGGTCAAAAACAACCCTACCGCCATACCCTTCGAGGAGAGCGAAGTGGTCGTGCTCCGGCAGAAGTTGGGCCAGGGCGATGCCGAGCCCGTCCCCGAGGAGGTCGAAGTCAGCGAAGTCACGTGGCTCGGCGCACCTGGTGGGTGGCAGACGGCGAGAGAGGTCTCGGTCTCAGTGTTTCATGGCTTGGCTGCGGGATGGTCTCAAAGCGCGCAACATCCGACGGTGAGAGAAATATGTGAACATCCAAGAGAGGTTGAGAGACCTGAACTAAGACCCTGCCACTACAGGGTACATATGGGATGGGCGACCTTAGGGCTGTGAAAAACCTCTCTTGGATGTGCTTGCTTGACGCATGTCAGACACCGACCTCGGAGGTCTGGTGTCCAGGAGTGCACCCCCCCAAGGCTCAAGGTTGACGAATGGACCACTTGAAAGCCACTGCAGAAGTGAAAGGAAGAGAACTTAAATGAACCTAAGAACATTTAGACGACCACCTTTGAGATTCCAGTAGTTCGTCGTAGCTCAACAAATCTTTGACGGAGGTGTCCGCTTCTGGCTGCTTGTTGAGCGCTCCTTCTTGCATGCTCCGCCCAGGAACGTCCGCGCATAAAATCTATGTGAAAAAAAAGGAGGCTCTTACCGACCCTCCTCTGCACTCAGCTTGGGAAGCAAGGTTTCAGACAGGTGCTCCCGACCGGGGCTTTTGGTCGGTCGGTGGAGAAAGACGGCATGGTATGGGAGATCACCACACGACAGGTAGTTGGAGAAAATCAGGAGGTGCCTGTGGTAGTTGATATAGCCAACACCAGGACCAGGAGTCACAAGACGGGGTGCCGAACTTGGAGGAAGTCGGGGTGCCCATTATCCATGCACTCACTTAAGAGACTAACAACCACCCCTTTATGACTCCTGGTGGCTGCGTGTTCTTGGGTAATCTAAAGGTCTTGGTCTGGTGAGCTGTGTAATGCTTGCAGCCACCTGCGAGTCACCGGGCGTTCCTCAAGAGAAATTCCCACGTTTTACCCCTGCCCTGCTGCAGACCATGTGTATAGGGTTGGGTCTGTCGAGTCCTCGTGGCAAGATTCCATTTGGGAGGTCATGCATCACCAGTGCTCATGAATGATCCACGTGGTCGTTATATATATATATAGAGAGAGATAGAGAGAGAGAGTCTTCCCCCCCCCCCCAAATTGGCCGAGTCTAGAGTTTCGTTTCTTTTTTTGGGTGGGGTAGGTTTGGGAGCATCCGAAGCACGATAAACCTTCGTTCTTCTGATTGATTTTTGAGCCACCATAAAATGTACCAAACATCTCTTGATTGGTCCTCCCCGGCCTATATGAAGAGTATTTCAACATGTTTCAATCATATTGGGCCTAGATGGGCCTAGTCTTGGGGGTTGATTCCACCATCGCACTCGGTCAATAAAACCGCGCGCCGAACCCACTCTGGAGTTCGAAGAGTGAACAAGAAGGATGCACCAGCAGTCACAAGACGGGGTGCGATCGGAGGAAGTCGGGGTGCCCACTATCCACTCACTTAAGGACTAGGGGA